TCAGACTAGACCACACTCATTGAGAGCACAATGTCACAATTTCTCTAGTGCTTGGCATCTATTTGGTGTTCTATTCATGTGAAATGAATGATGACTGTGTTATGAATTCAGCAACATCTCCAGCTTTCTTCACCATCAAAGAGATGTGGAACGATGCATATCTTTGGAATCTATAAATGTATGTCTCCAATACTTCAGATCTTTGATGATTACAACACCTGAACCATTCCTTAGCAGTTGGTCAGGCTACAAGGAGCTATACAAACTCCTTTCAAGGACAAGTTTAAGCCTCTGAAGGAATGATCTCATGCAATGAGGAATGACTTGACATAAAAGTCTACATGAAAATAAGCTGATGTCTACCCAGAGGGAATAATTGAAAATAACTTTCAAAAGGTGGGAGAATCATACATCCATTCAATTTTCATCAGGTACCTACTAAGTGCCAAAGAATCGATTCAACTCAACTGATATATTTTCTTTGAAGACGTTTGCCTCTTTAAAAACTGGTAGAGATTCAAGCAGTTACATCACTGACCCATCTGTTCCACTACTACACGTGTTTCTTTTGACAGAATTACCCAGACATGATTGGTAAACAGGAGAAAGATATCAGTATAACAAGTAACTTGTGTTGATTCTTATGTGATTTTTTCCTAGTTTGTTGACATTTTTAAGAATCATAGGAAAGCGCTCTAACAAGGAAAGAAAAAGAATCAACGATGTATGAAGACCCTTGAACAAAGCTGGAAACGTATTCAAGGGCCTTCTTGTGAGTAGTGGCTGATCGTGGCTTTTAAGAATCACTATGCTTTCCACTATGTTAACCTGCCTGGTGAAGCTGGAAGTTACTGATAAAGAAGCTATGAAAACAATATTATGGGTGATCACTTTGTAAAGTATATAAATGTCTAATCATCATGCTATACACCTGAAATGAATATAATATTGTATGTCAGTGGTAATTGAAAAATAAATTTTTTAAAAGAAGCTACGAAAACATTCCTCCCAATACAGATGAATGAAGAAGGGCTATACATTGGGCCAGATTTAATTTTGATGACAAGGGTCTCTATTAGAAGGCAATGTTGTCTGTGATCTACAGAGAGAAGAAGGAAGCACGAGCATGATTTGAAGCTGTAAAGAATGGACTGACCCTATTAAAGGCAAACACCAGCTAGGTGGCGATTTAACCAAACTATTTTTATTAGATTTGTTTTTGTCTTCAATTCTGATCACAAAGTTCAATATGTTTTTAGCAGTCTGCCTCAATCCTGTTTTATGCATACACCATTTTATTTTTTAGTATGTGATTTTGTGGAACACAAGGTACATACATGTACAGTACTATAATGAAGATGCCTGTGTTCATCACAATAACAGTCAATTTTTAACTAAAGTAAATTTCTTACAACAAAACTAAAATTATCCTAACAATATTATTATTGTTATTTATTTTATTTGGAATGAAATGAAAGCAGTATTTTCATATATATACACACACACACACACACACACACATATGGGCACACATACACATAACTGCACACATGTGTATTGTGTATATATTAAGTGGATAGGAATGCATGCATCAATCCCAGAAAAAGACATATGGCACATTTCATCCTTTTGAGATACAATTTGGGAAGTATAAATAAACTGAATGTTGACAAACAGACAAGGAACTATCACTGTCAAGTCCATCTCAATAAATGTCAACTTGGCCACTGCTGACTTTCTCTGTGGACATATACCATTCTCTTTAAACATTTTTTTCCAATGAAATAGAGACCTCCACAATGTCAGCTAATCACAAGGGAGTCAGTGTAAAATAGTGCCCAACAGCCTCAGGGAAAGCCATCTAAGTTGAAGCTTTGATGCGTTCAGTCCTTCTGATGAATAATAGTGTGGTTCTCTGGACTCACTCACTTCCTTCGGGACGGAACTTAGAGCCATCCCTACACATGGTGTTAGCACCACCAAAAGACCATGAGTCAGAAAAAAAAAAGAGAACTGAGGGTAACACTCAACACAAAGATAACAAAGGTCACCCAATGTGCTTTATATATGCTTAACGCAATCTTCTGTTCATGGATTCAGTCAACAAGTACTTAATGTGCAAGAAGCTAGGGACACAGAGGTGAACAAGACATGAGAATGGGGCTCCTTATTCCCCTGATTGTGTCTTCCTGATAGCCAAACATCTTAGCAAATGATTGACTAGAATCCTGGGGTTCCAAACTCTAAGGAAGCCAGATAAGCAATGTAAGAGTGAAGCAGAATGGGTACATGGTAACAGGAAGCACCGGGACAATGACAATCCAGAGGTCAAATGCTCCATCTAAAGTTACTCAAATCCCTTTTTCTTATCCACCTTCAAGGTAAGGCAAAATACATAGATAGCCTAGATTTGGCTCACAAACGCCACTTTATGACCCTTATGTTTAGCAGAATGTAGACACGGGCATTTGAATAAGGAATTTCATTTTGTATCCAGACAGACCAACCAATATTTAAGATCACTTTCCTACAGATGATGGCTATAATATACCAAACGATGAGGACTCTGCTATAGGAGAAAAAAGTAAAGCAATCTGTCAAGATCCAAAATTTTAGAAACTGAACTTGATTTTATATTTCTTCATTATGTTTGAAGAGTGCCATTAAACAAACAAAGTTTTCATTTTCTGGCATCATTATAAGTACACCTATTTCTAAAAACTACTATTTGGGGAAGGTTTACTCTTTACAACTTAAGTGTCTGAAATACCAAAGAGAAGATGAAGAATCTCTATAATCCAAATCACATCTTCACCAGAAAGGGTCAAGTAATAATGTCAATAGACACACATATCAATTACAAATGTTCTTAGCCCACTAAAAATGTGGTTTCTTGGTTAGAGGTTATAAGAAGCCATTTTATATACACTCAAACATAATATTTAATTAATGTAATACCAATACTGAGAATTAGATCAGTTTTCTTTCTTTTTTTTCTTTCAAGGTCAATCAATGTACTGGGTATTCTAAGAATTGTCCTTAAATCAACATCCTATTTTTTTACACACTCAAGAATTTTAGAGCTATATATGCTAATGTACAATCAACACTTCTTAATTGTTTTTAAAGCTAAATTTGGACAACAATTTAAATTCCTCAGTATATGTTATGCATTGTAGACACAGGCTATAAAAATGTTGACATTGGTTATATTCTCATAATGCAATTTAGCCCTTTAAGTAATGACTATGCAAATAATCAGCCATGGGAAAATTATTTTACATCTAGTACAATTACCTACTATCACAGAAGTAATTAGTATCATTGTCCTGTTTATTGAACTTCAGTAAGAACTCTTGAGGTGCTAAGATAGTTCCAAGGCTGATGTGAAAACTACCCTCTTAACAGATTCATCTGGCAACTATAATTACCAATGTTAAGGAGGGCAGTTTCAGATGAACATTAAACAAGAAATTATCCCCTGAAGGTTCATAAGTTCCAAACTTTAAATGGAGAAATACCGACAGCCCCTAATATGACTTCTTAACACCTTCATGATGCAACTTTTCACCCAGGCAAAGTCAGCATCTCTGAGTTGACTCGGTATCAATGGGTAGAATAATCCATGCTTCCCAACGAGATGAGCTTTGACCCTGAACAATACCTAATTTTGGCCAATGCCCTAATAGTGCTAGGTATACTTCGGAAAGCTCAACCAAACCTTCCATTTTACTGTGCTTCAACTTCTGGTTTCAAGAAATTGCTCCGCCATCTTGAAACAGACCAAAGTGTTTCTTGGGTGACCCACTGGCCACAATCTGCCAGAGTTCTTCACCAGGTTTCTACCCAACTTCACCTTAGGGATTAGCATAGGGAAGAGGAAGGCAGTAGTGTAGAGGTCAACTTGCATCGTTCTTTCAAGGAATGCTAAGATCACACATCATCCCACCTGAGCCCACTGGCTAATGGACCATGTCAGGGCCTCACCAATTCCAGCATCATCTAAAAGACCCTGGTTGACAGGAAGCCAAGATGCTAACTTGCATGTTCTCCATTCTTCTTTCACACTAACCAGCAAATCTACCATCTGAAAAAGCTTCAGCTGACGAGAAGGACCAGAGGAAAACCTCATCGTGGGTGAATCACCACTGTAGTCTCCTACCCAGAAGGTTAATTCCATCCACCCTTCGGGTGCTCATCTCAATCTTGCCCAAAGCCTTGAGAATCATGGCTAGTGTTAGTGGATTTATGTTCAGAATCCAGGTCCAGGCTGATCATTGATGCTGGTTTCTTGGAGGATCAGCAGGCCTTCTGGTTGAAGATGGCGGGTCTCTTAGCTTCCTTATCCTGGACCTTCTCTGGGGGCCTAACACACTGTGGAGTTATTCTCCCCAGGGAGTGGGGGTTGTTTCTTGTTTTGTCCACTTGTGGGGAATCCAAACGCAGAAACAACTGTGTCCAGAGCTAGCTGAAACCTAGCTCTTCAGTTTCAAAGATGCCAAACTAATGTCTTCCTTGACCACTTTTGAGGCACTTTCAAAGTATCCGATGCGGGCCACACCTGTGTGGACCTGGAGACAGGTATCCACTGAGGGTGACATATTGTGTTGGGAGCAGGGCTCACATCCCAAGTCCTCCCGCAACGTTTTACCACCCACCTCCGACTTCCATGTTCTCTTCCTTCCACCGAGGGCCCGCTGCAGCGCCCCCTTTCGTTCCCAATGAGCACTACACCCGCAAGGACCGCCCCCACGCCCCGGCCTGGAGGGCTTCCGAGCCCGAGACGGGGGCAGCAGGTGGGGGGAGGGGGGCGGTGGCCTGGTGGCCCCGGGGAGTGGTTTGACGGGCGTCTCCCGAACCCCTATCCTGCCGCCCCCTTCGCAGCGCCCTGAGGACCCCGCCTCACCCGGGCTGGGCTCCGTTCCCGTCTCCCGCCCCCCCCCTCCTCTGGCCGCCACGCGGCCCCCCGCATTCCCGGCATGTCCGGCGCCGACTTTTACCTGTACTTTCTGCACTCAGGCGGCTCGTCGGGCGACAAACACCT